CTGGAAGTGTAATGGTTTCTGGTTTCATTGAACCCTTCTGAGTGAATTCTTGTGTATGTTGTGAGTTCGAGTTAATCATGTGGACATCCAGTTGTTCTGGCTCCGTATAGCTGCGTTTGTGTGTTTGTCAAAAATAAAGGTGTGATGCATGATTTGCAGATCATTCCATTCCGTGAGCTCTTTTCACTTTCTTAGAATTTTTTTATGTTTTCAAGTACGGTTTACATTCAGTGTTATTTTGTATTAGTTTCAGGGGAACCATAGTGGTTAGACAACCATATACTTTACAGTGTGTTCTCCCTGATATTTCCAGTACCCACCTGGCACCATCTGTATTTATTACAGCATTATTGACTATATTCTAGATGTTGTCCTTCACATCCCCATGACTGTTTCGTAACTACCAATCTGTACTCTTAATCCCTTCACCTTTTTCACGCAGGCCCCCATCCCCTCCCCTCTGACAGCTGTCAGTTTGTTCTCTATATTTATAAGTCTGTTTCTATTTTATTTGTTTGTTTGTTCATTAGATTCCACATACAAGTGAAATCATATGGTACTTGCCTTTCTATGACTGGCTTATTTTACTTAGCATAATATTCTCCAGGTCCATCCATGCTATCAAAGAGTAAGATTTCCTTCCTTTTTATGGCCGAGTAGTATTCCATTGTGTAAATGTACTACACCTTTTTTATCTACTCATCTACTGATAGGCGCTTGGGGTTCCAAATCTTGGCTCTTGTGAATAATACTGCAGTGAACATAGGGGTGCGGAAGTTCTTTTGAGTTAGTGTTTCAGGCTTCTTTGAATAAATTTCCAGAAGTGGAATCACTATGTCATAAATCAGTTCCATTTTTAATTTTTTGAGGTATCTCCATACCGCTTTCCACAGCGTCTATACCAGTCTGCTTTCCTACCAACAGGGCACAAGGGTTATTTTTTCTCCACATCCTAACCAACACTTGTTGTTTGCTGATTTATTGATGATGGCCATTCTGACCAGTGTGAGGTGGTATCTCATTGTGGTTTTAATTTGCATCCCTCTGATGATTAGTGACATTGAGCATCTTTTCATATGTTGGTTGGCATCTGTGTGTCCTCTTTGGAAAAGTGTATGTTCAGGACCTCTGCCCAATTTTAATTGGATTGTTTGGGGTTTTTTGGTGTTGAGTTGTATGAGTTTTTAATAAATGTTGGATATTAACCCCTTATCAGTTGTACTATTGATGAATATCTTCCACTCAGTAGGTTGTCTTTTTGTCTTGTTGATGATTTCTTTGTTGTGCAAAAACTTTTTAGTTTGATGTGGTCCCATTTATTTATAAGGAGATAGGTATATCAGAAAAAATATTGTTAAAAGAAATATCAGAGATTTTACTGCCTATGTTTTCTTCTAAAAGTCTTATGGTTTCAGGTTTTACGTTTAAGTCTTTGATCCATTTTGAGTTTATTCTTATATATATTATATGTGGTGTAAGATTGTGGTCTAGTTTTCATTTTTTTGCATGTATCTGCCCAGTTTTCCCAACAGCATTTATTGAATAGACTGTCTTTACCCCATTGGACAGGGTATGGCAAAAGTAAGTTTATAGTTGTCCCTATGGAAAATAATACAATAATTAATAAATAGTAATACAAGAATAAACTCTGTGTTTCACATGCTCACAACTGTAAACCTATTTTTGCCCCACGCTGTATGTTCGTGCCTTTTTTGTCAAATATTACTTGACCATGTTGGTGTGGGTTTATTTGTGGGCTCTCTGTTCTGCTTCATTGATTTGTATATCTGTTTCTATGCCAGTACCATGCTGTTTTGATTAGTATAGGTTTCTAGTATAGTTTGGTATCAGGTACATGATACTTCCAACTTTGTTCTTCTTTCTTAAGGTTGATGTGGCTCTTAGAAGTCTTTTATGGTTCTGTATACATTTTTGGATCATTTGTTCCAGTTCTGTGAAATGTGCCATTGGTATTTTGAAACGAATTGCATTGAATCTGTAGATTGCTTTGGGTAATATGGACATTTTAATGATGTTAATTTTTTCTATTCCTGAGCATGGTATATGCTTGCATTTATTTGCATCATTTTCAGTTTCTTTCTTCAATATCTTACAATTTTCTGAGTAGAGGTGTTTTCCCTTTGTGGTTAAATTTATCCCAGGTGTTTTTCAATGCAATTGTAAATGGGATTGTGTTTTTAGTTTAGTTTCCCTTTCTAATAGTTTATTATTGGTGTAAAAAAATACAACCAATTTCTGAATATTTATTTTGTATCCTGCTGCTTTACTGAATTCATTTATCAGTTCTAGTAGTTTTTGGTGGAACCTTTGACAGTGCAGTATCATGTCATCTGAGGATAATGGTGTTTTTCCTTCTTCCTTTCCAGTTTGGTTGTCTTTCATTTCTTCTTGTCTGATTGCTGTGACTAGGACTTATAGTGCCAAATTGAATGAGAGTGGTGAAAGTGGACACCCCTGTCTTGTTCCCGGTCTTAAGGGGCATGGTTTTAGTTTTTCCCCACTGCATCTCACTTTTGTTTTTATCATCTGGCACCTTCCTCTTGCCTTTCAGAAGATGTCTCCTAACTGGAACATTCTTCAGAATTCCCTGTGGTCTGCACCTTCAGCCTTCACCTCCTCATTTCATTTGTCTCCTTGCCCCTCTCTCTGTGGTCCCCAGTGACTTCTGGGGGCTTTCCTCAGGTGACCTTCCATAGTCACTGCATTGGATAATACTGCAGGCCACGGTCTCTTTTTTCCTGAACTTTTTCCTTCCTGGTCTTAGGGGCTCTTCCTTCTGAGTCATCTCTGCCTTGCCAGCTCCCAGCCTCATGTAGGTCTTTGTTCCCATACTTTGGGTTTCTCTGGCAGCCTCCTGACCCATCTCCCACTTCCTGCACTATTCTCGCCCCCAATGAATCTTGCTGAAAACAGTGTGCTCATCCTTCTGTTCTTGGGTCCAACAGTCCTTTATGGCTCCTGTTGTATAAGGATTGTCCAGGGCTTCTCAACCCGACATGCACATGCCACTTTGGTCTGGCACCGTCTGCCTTTTCAGCTCCGTCTTTCTTCAGTGGACGTACTTCCTCTCAGGATCAGAGAGCCTGGGTTGTTTACTCAAGGAGCCAGAGCACCTCACAAGCCCGAGCTTCCTGCAGACACTCTCCAGGGAGGCCCTTCCACATGCCTGTCAGCCTCCCCAAGCCTGTCTCTCACCCAGGCCCAGTGGGCCCCAGGCCTGCCCAGAGGTGTCCTCTCATCACCCACATTCCCTGCTGTCCCTCCTGCTGCTCTGAGTCAGTACACGCTTCCTCCAGCCAGTTCTTGTCAGCCTTGACTACTTAGCTGCTCAGTTGGGTTGTCAGCTTCTGTAGAGCAGGGGTCTTCTTTCCTTCTGATGAATAGGTTGGGTTTTTCTCTGCCACGTGTTCACATCAGATGAAGATGGTAGGATTCTGGGCTGTGGGAGCGGTGAGTTGTCAGTACAGTTGCCAGGGTTGTTCATGTGAGTTTGCCCTTCTCCGAAGGCATCTGGGAGGTGCCCTTCAGCCAGAAAACCAGAAGTTATTGTGCAGCTGGGGAGAGGGCAAGACTTGAAGACGGGAAAGAGCAAGCGTCTTTCTGCTCACCGACAGGGGCCAACACGTTGTAGGATGTCTCTGGGGAAAGATGGCGCCACATCCCGCACGGAGTCCGAGGGCCTTCAGGCCTCGGTGGGCTGGGCCCCATGCGGTCAGGACACCCCAGAGCTGGGCAGGAGCCAGCCTTCAGGCAGAGCACAGACCTGAGTCCAGGTGGGGCTCCCGCCCCGTGTCCCAGAGACAGAGAGGGCCCTGGAAGAAGGGTGTGGGTGCTGTCTGCTGGGTTGCTGCCAGGCGGTTGATGCCCCAAAGAAAGTCTTTTAAGATCCAAATGGCCAAGAGGACTAGGGGCCAATGCAGGGCTCCTGTCCTGGAGGTCAGAGGAGCCGCAGTGGAAGGTGCAGGGCCAGCCTGGCCTCCCTTTGTACGGCTGAGGCTAAGAATGAAGTTTTTGGAGGCCTAGAAGCCTGAAGCATCTTTGTGAGTTTTCTGTCCGTGCAGCCTGAGGTGAGGGCAGGACCAGGATCAGTGTACCCCGAGGCCCCGGGAGCTGTACCTGCCAAAATAAATTCCGCCTAAACAGCACCTTTGTCAGTGTCTGAAATGTGCTACGTAAACTTGCTTTTGTGTGCTGTGCTGTGTTTTGTTTTTCCTTAGCTTTTCTGTAAACAGTTCTTTCCAAAGAATTCCGACCTTGTGTCCGTGACCCGAGGGGCAGTGGTACTTTTCCACACGCACATCCCAGGTGGCACGGAGAAGGGCGCCGGGGAGGATCGGGGGTGCTCTTGGGTGCTCGCCAGTTGGTGCTGCTGCAGAGAAGGAATGAAAGCCTAGGGAGAGGAGAGGAGACCCCTGTGGGCACTGATCGCTACTGGCCAGGGACCCTCCCCTTCTCTCATTCTCCAGGGGACCTAGCGTGGCACTGGGGCCCTCACGGTTAGCTAGTCAGTACTTGTTTCTCAGAGCTGGTCCCTGGGGAATGATAAGCCAAGGCTTCTCTGCAAAAGGGCAGCCCTTTGTCCTAGGCTGGGCTCTGTCACACTTTCAAAAAATGAAATCCCGCCACCCTCCTGGAAACTTTCTTGCAGGCTTCTGCCACCCCCTGCACACACAGTCAGTCACAGCATCAACGATACACCCATCCTTTTAGTCTTTGGTGCCGCAGACACGTTCAGTGGGATTATTCAGTGATCCGCTGTCCCCAGGGCCTTCCGCACTCCATCACAGGCCAGCCAGCCTTTGGGCTTTGGGGACAGCAGAGCCTGACCAGTCATGCTTGGCTACTCCCAGCTATCCTTGGCACTGGTTTGCTGGCAGCTGGGTGTTTGCTAAGATGGGGACTGGGGCCTTCTCGCCCTGGGGCTGGAAGGGTCAGGGGTGGGGCTCCAGTGACTGGTGTCCTCCTCTCTCCCTCTGCAGCTTGTCTCCAATGTCCTCATTTTCTCCTGCACCAACATTGTGGGTGTCTGCACCCACTACCCGGCTGAGGTCTCCCAGAGACAGGCCTTCCAGGAGACCCGCGAGTGCATCCAGGCGCGGCTCCACTCTCAGCGGGAGAACCAGCAGCAGGTGAGTAAGGCCCCCCCTCCCCCTGCCTCTGCACAGCTGGCAGGGAGCTGGTAGGGAGCAGATGCAAGACCTGCCTCCCCAGCAGCTGGGCTTGTTACAGCTGCCCAGCCCCACCTCCCTGGGTGTGGGGGCCAGCCCAGGGGAATGTTTCTCCTGGAGGGAGCCTAGCATTCTTGGCTCTGTGGGAATGCTCTAGCAGAGACTGGAGAGAGAGTTCTACCCCAGGGCCTGCCCCTGCCTCCTCGGTGGCCTCCTGTGATTTTACAAATAAGTCTGGCGCCCAAGTCTGGCAGCAGGGAGGGGCCCTCCACCCCTGCGCAGGGGCTGGTGGGTGGGATTGTGAGAGTGCCAGCACTCCTTCAGGATGAAGGGGAGGGAGGAAGAAAGGAGACCCAAGCTGTGACACCCACCCTAGGCCTTTCCTCTGTGCTGAGTTCTAGGGTTTGGTTGGTTCAGAGAAAGGAGGCCAGCCCGGTTTCACCCTGAACCTCACTCTCAGAGGACTCCTAGGCCAGGAAGCAGGCCCATTTCAAGGGCCACAGACGTGGGGGCTTCCTCACAGTGACCCCAGGATGGAGGGATGGGCCCCGGTGTGCTTCTCTTGGGTAAGGGCTGCATCAGGGCTTCCCTCCCGCCTGCCTGGCATCGAGGGACGGTCCTGTTCGGGATTCAGGGCTGCTGCGTCCTCTTCTGTATGTGAACCTGATGGAGGCCTGGGCACTCTGAGAGTGCGGAGCTACATGGCTTTTAGGCTGGAGGCCCGGAGGGGGCCCTGTGGCCCCAGGGGGGAGGGGCAGGCCAGTGGCTGGCAGGGCTCCCACGGACTCCTCCTCGCAGTCACGCCTGCAAGAGATTGGGTCGCTCCAGACCAAGCCCTCCCTTTCTTCTCCTGTTAGTGTCGCCCCCAGGGCTCAGCCAACACTGCCCCGTGCCCGCCCTGTGCCCACCCTGTGGCCGGCGTGAACTCAGAAGGCTGGCCTTGGAGCTCGGGGCCAGGGAGACGAGGCTTGGACCGCACAGTCGCCTGCACCCTCCCGGCGGGCGGGCGGGCGGGCGGGCGTGGAGTGCGCACGGTGGCCGGAGCGCACAGTGGTGTCCCCGATGCGAGGGAGGCTCTGACTGTGGGGACGCGTCCTGGGGGAGTGCCAGTGACGTCCAGACAGCGAGCAGGGAGGAAGCGCTGCGGCAGCTCTGCGGCCCTCCCCCCGCCACCACCTGTCTCTGCTTCCCTCCCGGCCCACTGCATCTTGCCAGGGCCCCGGCTCACGGCTCACGCTGTCTAGTCAGGGACCAGCTTGCTCCGTGCACTCACTCTTCTGGCCTGGCCCGGGCTCCTGGCCCCGCGTCTCCAGTGACACCCAGGCTTGGCGCTGTCTCCTCGCCTCACCTCTGCACCCACTCACTCCTAAGCCCCCACGTTGCTCAAAATCCCCCTATCCCACCCCAGCCCCGGGCCCCAGCATCTCTCACCTAGAGAAGGACACCTGCCTTCTCTTTCCATGTTGGGGACTGCCCCTCTCACTTCTGCACCTTATCCTTTCTCCAGCAAAGATTAGCATTTTACAGCTCACCACAGTTTTTCTTGCCTTGGCTGTGGCCAGGCTAGACATTTCAGCAGGCCCATAGGGGTTTGGGGGAGAAAACAGGTTTGTCCTGCCACGTTCCAGGCCAGGACGCCGGGAAGGGGATGGGGTGTGCTGAGCTGGGATGGGCTCTTCTCACCCAGCCAGCTCCCAGCAGCTCTCGGGCCTCACCCTGCCCTCCACGGGAAGGGCGGCGCTCCAGGTGCTGCACGATGATGAGAGGCCTGGGAATCACCCCTGGCCGCGCCCTGTGCACTCCTCCTGGCCCTCAGCCTTAGACACGGTTATAGACGTGGCGAGGTCTCAGGAATCTACGCATTCTGAGGCACACTTTCTCCCAGTCGTTCCGTACGGTTACAGAATTGTCCTTTAGCTTGTGTTTCTGTAACCAGTAGCTGTTTACCAAGAGCTTGGTAAATACAAGACAGCCTTCAACAGCCGTGCCCTCTGACGCCTGGGAGGGGCTGGGCTGACCCAAGGAGAGCAGCAGCCCTCGCCAGCTCACCAGTGTCTGCCTAGCACGCGGCTGCCGGCTGTGGCGCTGACCAGGACAGTGCTCCTGTCCCAGGGAGTGGTCTCGCTGCTCGCACGAAAGGAGACACGTTAACAGACCATGGAAATACAGTGGTCAGGGATAGTGAGCCTGAAGGAGGGCTAGGGTGAGGATGGTCCCTCTAGCTCAGGGGCTTCCATGCAAAGGCAAGAAAAAACTACCAGGGGCTTGAGATGCCTCCCACAGTTCACTCTGTCTGGAGCAGAGTGCAGATTTCAGTTCAGGGGGTGCAGGGAGGGGAGCACAGAGCGGGTGGGTAGGGGCCCGATCATGGCAACCTCCAGGCCAGGCTGGGGCTTGGGCTGGTCCTGCAAGCTTCCAGAAACATAGAAGGGTCTTACTCGGGCCAGCGATGTGGTCCAGTGTATGTTTTAGAAAGGTCACTCAGTGGCTTATAGTAGAGGCTAAATCAAAGGCAGCAAGCTTGGGGATGGAGAAACTGGAGTGAGGCTGCCCCGTCATCCAGGCCAGGCCTGCAGGAGGCCCAGACCTGAGGATGGGGCGGTGGAGAGGCGCTCCAGGAGGGGGAGGATGGCAGCTGGGTTTGGGTTGGTAGGGGCGGGTCAGGGCACAGACCCAGACCGGGCACAGGAAGCGGGGGATGGGGGGTGGGATGAGGGGGGCAGGGGGAGGGGAGGGAGGGCTTGGGGCTGCAGTGGAAGACAGGAGCAGCTCAGTGGGCCCAGAGCGATCCACATATGATGTGGCTGGTGGAACCCAGGGAGGCTTTGGAGGTTTGGAGAGGGGGATGACATGGGTAAGGCTGGGTCCTGGAGAGACTGAGGCCAGACAGGCAGGGCGGTGGGCTGAGGAGAGGCTGTCTGGCCAGACAGCGTGGCCAGAATCCCCCTGTCTGGTGAGAACAGTGTGTGACGGTGGAGGCAGATGCGGAACAGAAAGAGCAAGTCCAGGAGCTCGTGTCCAAACCAGCAGGACCCGGTCAGTGCTGGCCAGGGCCTGTGGCTGTGGGGCACGGCTGCGTCTCAGAGGGAAAGTTCGGAGAGACAGAGCCATTTACAGGGGCAGGGTCTGGACCTCGGGGATCAGGAGCCTGGGGCGTCACGGACAAGGGCAGGGAACTTGAGAAGAAGAGCACCGGGGAGTGAACGCCAGGGGAGGTGCGTGTGGTTTAGGGTGTGGGTCACCGTGACCAGACATCGGGCTGGCAGCCTGGACGGGAGAGGGGGGTGAGGTGACCACAGAGGTGCTGGTGGAAACCTCACTCCCAGGGCAGGGGCGAGCAGGACAGAGGGGTTGACAGGTTTCACCTGGGGCCGGGGGTGGGGGAGAAGCCAGAAAGGACCCAGGAGCTGGAGAAGAGTCTTAGGGCCATACTGGGGAAGCCGAGTGATGGACAGGAGAGTGCGGGAGGCTGCAGGTCAGAGCCTGGGGGGTGAGGCTCAAGATGAGAACTCCAAGAACAAGCCTGGCGCGGGCGGTGGGCGTTGGAGCGTGCGGGTGCAGGCCTCGGGCTCCGGAAGCAGCGGAGCCTCCCTGAGCGGGTGGGCTGGGAAAAGAACATGGATCAGAGGCAAGGCCCAGCCCTGCACGGGCCGGGCCAGCTCAGCTCTCCTCACCCACAGTGTGGCTCTGGCCCTCTCCCTGCTTCTCCGCCGCCTCCCCCTCACAGGTTTTAGCTTGTTTCTCAAAGTCAGCATGCTTTCTCTCTCTCCCGGGCCACTGTCCTGTACGTGGAAACAGAGCCCCCTTCCTCACCTCATTTTTATGGTCTCCATGGAGCCTTCTCTTACCTCCCTGCTTTGCCACAGCCAAGGTCAGCTACTCCTGGGCCCCCTCAGGCCTCCTAACTCCCACGAAGCTGGGAGCTTCGTGAAGGGTAAACCTGGCCTGGCCAGTTCTCCGTTAGAACCCCTGGCAGCCAGCAGGTTGCCTGAAATATGGCAGATGCTCAACAAGTATTTGGAAACTGATCAAATGGACCTCATCTAATGCCCTCAGCAGCCCCGTCCCTATTTACAGATGAGGAACCTGGGGCTCAGGGAGCTTCAGTGAATTGCCCAAGGTTACACAGTCTCAGGTGCCATGCATGACTCTCACCCAGGTGCTCAGCGCTACAGGGCCACCAGGCATACTTGTCCCCTTGTGCACCGAGGACCAGGGGGTGTCCCGGGGAGAGGGGGTCAGGTGGCCCTGGGAGTGTGACTCCAGCACTGCCATACCCGCCCCCCAAACACAGGCGGTAGCCCCACGAGGTTGAGGACAGTCTGAGAGGTTTTCCTGCAGGTGTTCACAGGTGTGGAGGACTCAACCAGAGAGCAGAGGGCACTGCCAGAAAGGTGGAGGGAGCTGTGACGAAGGCATCTGCTTCCCTCCCCAGGAGAGGCTCCTGCTGTCTGTCCTTCCCCGTCACGTTGCCATGGAGATGAAAGCAGACATCAACGCCAAGCAGGAGGATATGATGTTCCATAAGATTTACATCCAGAAACACGACAACGTGAGGTAGGAGTGAGGCTGAGGGGCAGGGGCAGGGTGGGACAACAGAGCCGCGAAGGAGAGGACGGACCTTCCCACTCCCTTCCCCTCACGGGGGCGCAGCCTAGCAGGGTGGGCTGGTGGCTTTGACGTGTGTGTTGTGTGGGACACCCCTCTAGGTCTGTGAAAGTGAATGTTATTGGGGGAGAAGGAGAAGGCGAGGCCGCAGGGAGAGGAGGAGAAGGAAGGAGCAGAAGGGAGAAAGCCACACCACCAGCGGTCGGGGGAGTGGCGAGCCTAACAAGGGAGCTGGAAAGTGCGGCCGTGGGACCTGCACATCCCCTCTGTCATCTCAGTCTTCATCACCACCCAGCAGCTGCACACCACAGCTTCTAAGCCAGTGTGTGCCAGGCACTGGACCAGCCCTCTCCACCTCATTGCTAATCCTCCTGACAGCTCTGCAAGGTGGGGACCCTCAGCAGCACCCCTGGTGTAGAGACTGAGCTCAGAATGGCTAGGACCTTTGGCCAAGGTCACTCGGCCAGGGGCGGAGGGCACCCAGGTTGCCCCTCTAAAGCCCACGCTCCTTTCGTTGCGTGTCTACTGCTTCGCTAGACAGATGCTGCTGACAGCAGAGATGTGCAAACAGATGTAGATTAATAGAGTGCAAAATCTGCTTCTGAGTTCCACGGGGACATGAAGCGATGCGGTGGCCTTCATCTGGCAGGGCCTGCTAATCCTCCCATATGCCCAGAAAAGGAGCTGCGTTTGCCTTTGAGAGAGTTCCTTTTTCCCTGGGCAGGTGTTTCTAGGACCCAAAAGTCCTCTTATGCTGGTGTAGAGAGAGCCCTTCGGAGGCTTGGGCTGAATGGGATTAAATGGAAGAACGAAAATCACACACACACACATACACACAGATGCACACCCACCCACGGTGAGGCTGCTGGATGCTGTGGCGGTGAGGGCGCTGGGTTTTCTTGTCCGGCGGGCAGAACCGCCTTGTCCCCAAGTGCACGCCCTGGAATCTGGCAGGTGGTTCTGCCCGCATGTCCACTGTCCAGCTCTCCACACAGACTCCAAGCTTTTGGGAGAAAATGTGCCCGCACAGCACTTTTGTCCCGAGTTTAATGCGTTTCCCACCCCCCCCGGGGCCAGGGCCGTGCAGATAGCAGCAGGAGAAAAGCTACCCCTGGCCGGGTCTCTGTGCCCAGGAGGCGTCCCCTGGGGCTGCAGGCTCAGCTGCTGAGCTCAGAGAGGGAAGGGCAGTCCAGACCTTGGTAGGGGGCTCCCACTGCTGGTTTCCTCTCCTCCTCACACCTGCCTCTGTCCTCTCACAGTGGAGTAATCACCAGTGACAATTAGTACGTGGAGAGAGATTTCCCTAACCCACACACTATTCTAAGTACTTTTACATATTCACTGGTCCCCACAATAAATATAAGGGGTCGGTGCTATTGCTATCTCCATTGTACAGGTAAGGAAGCTGAGGCGCAGAGATTAACTTATCTAAGACCCATAGCTGGGTAAGCGAGAGAACTGTCCCTGAAAGCTTTTGGATTCCAGAGCTTTGCCACAGCCTGACCGCTGCACAGGTGTTCTTATACACCCAGGAGGAAGGAGTTTGTTCACATGAGAGTGTGGAGGAAAGAATCCTGGGGAAAAAGAGACTTGGAGGAGAGAGGTTTGGCTTCTGGCCTGCGTCTGTGCCTGTGTGTGGGGGTGCGTGTGGCTGAGGACCCGCCCGGGCCTTTCGTGTCTGATGGCAGCCCCGAGATCCAGAGGCCTCCGCCTTCTGACGTGTAAGAAGTGGCCCTCCGCTTCAGAGCAAACCCCAGGCTCCGGTGGGAAGGAGTGACCTGCCAAGCAGTCCCACACATCCAAAGCCCTAAGCACATCTCTACACCCTGCCAGCCCTGCCAGCGTTCCAGGCCGAGCATGGACGAAAGGCGCTTTCCTTGACTGCTTTTAGCACAGCACAGCTTTCAACAGATTTCATTAAAACATAAAGTGGAACACCAAAGAAGTCCAGGAAAGTGCTCCCTCGGAAACAGTCCACCATTCAGGGCACAGATTCTCAGCCTGGCTCGGTTAGCGCGTCCGGCCCATCTGGCCCCTCTGCTCTCGGCCCCGCCCCTCGCCCTCTCTCCACGCGTGAGTGCCGTTGTATTCCCAGCTCATGGCGGCTGGCTCTTGGGCCCTCTGGCCACAGGGTTTGGTCAGAGGCCTGACTCCAGCCTCTCTGCCACCACAAAAGCGGCCCATTCCTGGGGGAACCCCACCCTCGCCTCTTTTCTCCCAGGGAGGCTGTGACTTTGCTTCCATGAAAGAACAGAGCAGCCTGGCATCCGCATGGCAAGAAGCAGACCCAGCCCCAGCGCGGGCATTTCTGTTCTCGGACATGCTCAGGATGAATGACAGCCATCAGGGAAGAGATGAAAGGAGAGAGAAACCTAGATGCCATCATTTTCCTGGGGACAGACATAATTCTGACTCTGAAAGTGCCAGTCTAGAGGTGGCGGGTACACATCAGAGGCCAGTCGTGAGCAATCAAGCAAACACCCTGCGGGCCCCTCCCCTCTCCCACCAGCCTCGCTGGATGTAGCGGCTCTGGGAGGGGCGCATGGCTTGCTCCAGTCAGGCTCGGGCTGGGCGTCGAACAGCAGGTGGAGGGAGACACCACAGTGTAGAAACACACTTGGGGGCCAGGGCCCGGGGTTGGGCAGCCCTGCAAGGCGTGCCAGTGTTTCCTGGCTGTGTGACCAGGGCAAGCAGTAGGCATCGAGCCCCCCGATCCGCAGTTTCCTCCTCTACACGATGGAACAAGAAAGGCACCAGCGTAACAGGGTTGTGAAGAGTCAGTGGAATAACTCAAGGATGGTGCTTAGCACTGCACCTGGCGAAGAGCAGTGTGCAGTAATCGGGAGCTACTGTTACTGTTGTTGCTGTTGTTGTGATTGTTATCATGCTCCTATCAGCAGAGAAAGCCTGGGGATTCTCTAGCTGGAGAGTGGAAGGGTGATGAGTCACATTCGTCAAATCTCTGTGGAACAGTAATATTTAGGGAGGGTGATGACATGCTGTTCTCTACCCCACAGAGAGCAAGGCCACAAAAAAAATAAATCCGCTCCGGGTGTGACAGATTGGAACTGGATCTATGGAAGCGGAAGCAACTCATGGGGAGGGAAGAGTTTGGGCGGGGTGGGGTGACAGACAGGCGCCTGACTCTCTGTGGCCTGGCTCTTGCTGGCCCCGAGGAGGATGGCTGTGCAGCAGACAGTGCCCGGGGCTGCCGGGAGCTCATCGAGTGCTTTGGTGCTGATCCACCACCAGCCATGGGGTGAGGCAGGCCAGAGGCCAAGGAACCCCCGGGGACCCCGTCCATGCCTCTCCTGTCTGATGTGCAGTGACAGATGGAGATGTTTCAGCCCCTCTGGCTGGACAGGTCAGCTGGCACTGAGGCCTATTTGCTGGGATGTTAGGCCTGAGGCTGAGAGCCCTCTCCCCTATCCCCGCCTTTCTTGCAGCTATCCGCCCCTCCTGTAGCGGGCAGTGCCGGGGTCAGAGGTGGATCATGCTGTCCCCATTCCTGGGACAAGAGTCTAGCACATGCCAACAGAGGTTGCTCTGGTGTGGGGCTCCCAGGGCTCTGCCTGGGAGGAGGGACACTGGGGTTGGGGGGAGGGGCCAACCAGAGAAGCACCACATCAGGAGGAGGCTCATCCCCATGGGTCACAGTAAAGGTACAGATGCAGCAAGAACCCAGGTGACACCAGGGTTCTGTGTTGAGCAGACTGGGTCACACCCTCCTCTGCCACTTAGTAGTTCTGGGAACTTGGGCAAGTCGCCTAATCTGAGCTGCAGCCCCTCACCGGTAACACGGGAGTAGTGATGTCTACCCACTCCTCCGCTCAGCAGATATTTTGCTTCTGCCTCCCTTGGTGGGGACCTCTAGCTCTCTGACATTTAGCTCAGGTCAGGGGTTGAAGGGAGACACTGTCCCTGACACTGGGAAGCTCACCTTCTGTTCGGAAGACGCATGCCAAACAACAGATTAATTAGTTGGGAATGCACCCCATGAGGAGTGGGCTGAGCCTGCTTTGTCCGAGGGTGTGGAATAGATGTCACACAACTCACCGCTCAGTTGTTCTGCTGTAGCTGTGATAAAGGTTATGGAGGCCAGAGCCTACAAGCTGGGCTCCCCCCACCCCCAGGGCTCCCTTTAGGAGTGCTGGGAGGGGAACGAGGTAGAGTGTGCAAAGCCTTGGCAGGTCCCCTGTCCCGGGAGGGGACTGCAGAGTGTTTGCCCCATGGAGGTGGAGCAGGCGCTCAGGCAGGCATCAGGGTCAGGTAACCCAGTACCCCAAAGGTCTCAGGGGCCTGGAAAGCCTGAGAGGGTGCGGAAGGCTGCTCCCCTCCATAGGGGTCTCTGCTGAGTGAGGATGGCCCTGCAGCTGGTTGGCCTGTCCCTGTGCCAGACCCCTTAGGATTTTAAAGGTTGTGGGTGTTGGAGAGGTCCCCGTCCTCTGCTGAGCAAACTTGTTCCTTATAGGGCTGCATTGTGGGGACCATGGGGATAGAGTCTGGGTGCACTGGCTTGAATCGGAGACTCATTCTCAGGGACTCGGGAGCCCTTTGGGGCTGGAGCCAGGGGCCAGCAGAGGGGCCATTGGCCCAGGTGTGAAAACGAGTTACCTCCCTTCACTATATGCAAGGCTGTGGCAAGGTCTAGGGAGTGCTGCCCTGCCCTCACTCCTCCCCTCCCCCCTCTTCCCAGTCTCCCCAGACCTCCTCCTTGTAAGGTTATTATCTCCTCTCCTGTCTCCTTCAAGGACTTGGCTGCATCCCCAGGTCGCTCCGCCGTCTGGCTCAGCTACCTCGTGGTTCTGAATTATAATGACCTCGCCACCGTGTCCACGGTGCTCAGTTAGCCCGGAGCGGGTCGTGCACGCTGTGGGCAGAGAGGGGTGTGCTCGCCTACGGCCCTGCCCTACCAGCCGCGTGAGTGAGGCCTGGTCCCTAAACGCCTG